AAAAAGTAAAAAGTACAACACTTATTATGGAACAGAGAGAGTACATGGTAGTCGAGATTAGCGTGAGATCAGATCATCTATTTTTCTTAAATTATGGCGACTTACGGATCTGCTACAAACGGGGAAAAGGAAAACAGCTGGAAATTGAGATATCAGCACAAATTCAGCTTACCAACATTTCTGTTTTTCTAACTGGATTTCACATGCTACGACATTCAAGAGGATCTATTACTAAGCTGTTAAAGTTAGACCATAGCTATGCCTATGCTACAGATGGATGGAACTTGCAAATCAAATGAGAGGTTGTTAGATTCATAATGATGGAGAGCAACTGCACTCACCTTATTGTTTATTGGAAGATCTGTCGTTAGTCCAGAGGACAGTTTTTGTAGTGTGTTCTCAACACCATCCAAATGTCCAGGAGAAACCTATGCATGGCAAACCACTATTAATGATTAAACATATATAATGTGGAGGATAAGTGGAAATCAAAATGCTAGCTAGTCTATTGTTTCAGACCAAATTTGTTTGGACTCAAGAAAACCTTTTCTACCAACTCAATGATTTCCAGAAAAGGTAGATTGGGACTTGAGTAATGATACATTTATACAAAATCCCAAATCCAGCCCTCCTACTCAACAAGAAACATCAGACTTAATAATTGACTAGTTTTACAGCTTTTTCTTTTAAACGTAAAATATATGATGAGATTAGTGAGACAAACCTCTAAAAATTTAGAAGGAAAAAACATGGAGAGACCAAAACAGTCCTATCCCTGCTTTAAAAATTGGTGATTTTAGTTTGTTTCAATGAAGTTTATTGAAATGACTTAGTTTTAAGATGTTTTTCTTCCTAATTCTTTAGAGATCCAGCTGATGAACTTTTTTATTACATATTATATAGTTCACCATAATCTCTAAAATGCATAGAAATCAGTTTAACAAGTACTCCCTTTGTCTCTGCCACTAAAATTAACATGCATGTAACTTTAGGTAACGCTTTTATAGGGCATATGAATGGTAATTGAAAATATTTTTTTATCAAATGAAACTACTAAAAAGGACTAAGTATTAAAACAAAAAAAGAAAAAAAGAAAAAGAAATCATTCATATGCTATATAAAGGCATTATCTAAAGTTACATGCAAGTTAGTTATGCTGACAAATAATTTGAGACAGATGGTGTAATGAGAAACAAATGTCAGCAGTGAACCAAAATTCATGACTGGAACTTGTCGAACAGCTTGAGACCTGAAACACAAACAGAAAATATGGACCATGCAATGACTTTAGAAAACCAGTACACCACACTAACATACAGAATGATTAGTTAGTGAAAGATTTCTGTGGAATAAGGTACATGACAGGGCCACCAGGACTCTTGATTATGGATATTACTTTCTGAACATGGATTCAATTAATGTAGGAAAAACTAAATTCATAGTTTGGAACTTACCTAAAATTTCCGTTAAAGCTTGAGAGGCCTTCCTCAAAGAGTACACCTTTGCCAAAATGATCCTGAAATGTGAATGAAAAAGGCTAAATTCCTGGTTCCACAAGAAAAACAATTGTAAGTTTCATAACTTACGAATTATTAAAGAAACTGATTGAACCTACTACTTACGAAAATATGTCTCATGTTGTCCAATGTTCTATTTATAGCCCACTTGCAACATCAAGTGACGATAGCTACGACCACGTACAACTCGTTGCCATAGATATTGCAGAAAGTTTTGGTAACTCAATAGCATCTTTTCCCAGACAAGCCTGTGATCCAATGTCAGAATGTATGAGCATATAGGATCCCATCATTCATTTTCAGTAAATTCAAAGGATAAGATCACCTACCATCTAACAAGACACCTCTGAATACCTCTAGAGATTGGGCGAATTAAAGATGGATCTCTTTGAACATAAAGCAAGCCAACCTAAACAGAGTAGTATCACAGACGGAACAGATTTAATCTCCTTGTCTATTAATATCAAAAGAGGGAACCTTAGGCACCCGTTCACTTCACAACTATAACTGAAAACCTAGGCCACAGTTTTAGGGGGAAAGTGTAAAATTTCAATGATATAAGTAATTCACCTCCACTAATGCAACAGCAGCAGGGTCATCCCAGATCTCAAGGCTACAGTCAGCTAGATAATTAACCTACACCGAGTAGGAAGCAATATCATGGAAAGTGTCATCAATCTATAAAGAAAATGGATAAGTGTAACAACATAAGACTTAAGTAAAGACAATAACTCTAGAGATAGGAATGCATATAAATAAGATAATTCCTATACATGAAAAGCAGCAATTATACATATACTGTTCTAGCAACTTCATTTTGACAATCTGATTGGCAGTGTGAGAAAAGACGGTTAAGGTTACAAAGCTGGATATTTTGATAGGCTAGTATTTTTGTCGGGAGGATATTGATTCTGAAGTCAGAAAGTAATGAGGCAAATGTGAGCATCATGACCAAAGGAGAGAGAGAGAGAGAGAGATTTGGTGAATATTCTAATAATACAACTAACACTGCTACAACAAAACATGGGCACAAAAAATGTTAGAAGGCTACACATGGAAAAGGAGAAGAGAAACTGTGGAAACACTTACTCCAAATTCTGTGTTGACAAAAGATTGAATAAAATCCATCAAATGAATCTTAGCCCACTCCATACAAAGAGTTGGGTCATCTGCTAATGGAGGATGCCTCCATGGAGCACCAAATCGTAATTTATCTTTGGAAATCCTTCCTTTACGTGCATCAGTGGCAAACTTTTGCAGGAGTTTCAGTGCTTTGTCCATGGCAGGATTCACCACAGTAACCTTAAAATGGTTATCAAAGCAGAAGTGAGACACCAGTTGGTGCAAAAAAGAAAGATAAATAAGAAATAATAATTTTTAAACAAAAAAGGAAAACACTATAAATGCAGAAATAACATGCATCTTAAATCATAACAAATTAAAAGACATTAATTTAATACATAAATTTCCAGCACTTGGAATTCAAAGAACATGAATTTCCTCAGAGAACATTAATTGACAATAAAATGCTTAAGATGTGGAGGAATCCTCCACCTACTTCCCTACCTCCCCTTCAAGGGTGTAAAATATTTGATATCCAAACAAGAAGAAGATTTAAAGAAATAAAAGCACCAAATAGCAATATTTTTCAACAAACTTTTAAATAAAAAGAAAATGGAATATCAAAACAATGCAATCTAGTTCAAGAATACAGTTGGTCTCTTTTTATAACTTTATTGTTGGCACTAGATAATCCTACTATTTATTTTAATTTTTTAGAGAAAAAAATTCATTTCATAACTTATAAAGCATATTCATGTTCTTTAGTAATTGTTAAATAATAGTTTTCTAGGAATTCTTTTACAAAATGAAATAATAGAATACTGAATTGTGTGCAACTAATGTTAAAAGAATACATAGCAATATGTACATTTACCTATGATATACATTCACCATCAAATCAAAAGTAAGTGATCAACCCACCAAAAAGTATAATATAATAAACATAAGGTAAGCCAGGTATTACTACATGTCAAAGCATGTAATGGATTTTAGTTGCTTCAAGATTAAAAAGATTTGCTACAATATCAAATCGCAATGACTGTATGGGAGCATAAGTCTCAAAATACAAGGTAAATGTGGCTATTAAGAGAGATCAGGCAATAGGAGTAAATTGCCATTTCTAATTAAGTTTTAAATCATAGAATATTAGAATTTTGAAAAATTAATTGAACAAAATTGTCTAAAAGATGGGTTTCATAACAAGAAGCTAAACATATATCTAACTATGAAGTAAATAAAAAATATGGTGCAACAGGAAAGATATTTCTTTTAGGGAATAATAGCCAGTGAATAGAGAAAAGTCAGATTATAGTAACAACATGTTACCAGGTTGTGTGTATGGTGAATGTCAAATAATGTAGAGAACCATAGATCCGTAAATTAATTACTTCAAATAAATACTGAGGTAACACTGCAAATTTTTTAAAAATGAATTAAGGAAAATAAATGAATAAAGTTGTTGCTTATTTGGTAACATTTACCTGCAAATATGCTAAATATGCATCTACTATGTCTTCAAATGAACTACCCTTGTTGTCCATCAACCTATAGTTGAACAAAATAAGGTTAACAAATTCTTGAATCAGGAGTGTTAATTTTAAAAAGAACATGCCCCAACTTGGCTTATAAATTAGAAAGAAGTTACATATTACTTGTAATATCCATTTACCACAACTTCATTTTTCTATTAAATACTGCTTAATTAAAAAGACTGGGTAGGAAACACACTGATAATGTCAAGATAACAGCATATGGTTAAGATAATAATTTGGATAACTAAAACTCGACAAATAAAATGTATCAGAGTACAACAAACCGCTAACACATAACCATTTTTAGTGTTGAAAAAATCCAGCTTGTAGTTCTTTGAAGTGATGGCGAATACAGTATCAAGAAGATATATATCAGATGTTAAACAATAAGTTGCACGGGAACCAATTCTTACTTCTGATAATAATTGGCCTGTTTGAGTGCATAAACTTCAAAGAGATGACGAGGGTTTGGCCCCAGCACCTCAGCAACCACCAGCCACTGAAGTAAAAAAAATTTACAGTTAAAATTTGTTACAAATGCCTTTAACGCAAAAAGCTTCTGGATACATTTTGAGGGAAAAAAATATGAATTTCATATTATAGATTAAAAAAAAAAAAGATGATCTGGAATTTGATCAGCCTCAAGCTCTTTATTGGGTTCTCACCCCTTTTCTTGCTTTAAATGAAATATCATATCAAGAAATGCACTAAACTACTCACCTCTGAGTTACTGAAGTAGTCACTAACCATATGCATTTTAGCTTCTTGTGGAGTCCAACCAAATGTCTGCACATCAAACAAATTGAAGAGAGTAATATACACCAGTATCATCAAATTGTTGACATTTAAAGAACTGACCAAGATTCATTTATACTGCAAGTGTGAAACCAAAACCAAAAGAAAGATATGAAAAATAAGGGTGGATTAAAACAATATATGTGCAGACACATACAAACTTATGCATGCAAACATGAGAAAAAGATGTGTAGTATCAGTTGAGTACCTCACGAGAGATGAATATGTCAGGAAATCCAAAATCCGTGAACGCCTGATATGAGTAGTAGCTAAATACAACATATAAAAAGAGCATATGAATCTACAGAGATGTATAAAAAAAATAAAAATTAAAAAATAAAAAATAAAAAAACAATGGAAGAAGTAGTAATGAATTTAGGAAGCAATGATAACGTAAGAGGTTTCTATCAAAGCAGACCAAACAAGGATTTCAGCACAAGAGTCAACATCTGGCAGAATACAAGGATCACAAAACAGTAACCATGAAAGATACAGAAACAGTTTATTACTCACCTGAGACTCTTAGCCAATCATTGCTCAAAACATTTTCATTTGGCAATATATAATTCATTTTAACATTTCAGATTTGATGAAGTAGCATGTTACAGTGAATTGAGACAGTCTACGTATTACATGATCAAGAACTGAGAACACAGCTAAATAACAATTGTCTAACCTATCAGAGGTCACAAGTATGACAGGCAGGCACTGCTCATTTGCTCCCAAAGCTATTATTCTCCATATCAAACTGTCATGATACATTGAAGCACATACTGTTGAGTCATCCATCAATACTGCATTCCGCAGAATTTCAGCATTATTTATGATCAACTTTGGCTGCCCAATTGAAAACAAGCATCCATTAATAAACCACAAAGAAAAAAGAATAAGAATAAAGAATTTTAAATACATTTGCCTCGTGAATTTTCCCTGCAGCCTAATTTGAAGTATGATTTGACAAGATTTACAAATCAAAACATGTAGCAAACCTATTTAAATGAACCTGACTTCATTATTGCCTCATATGCACCAAAATGCTAAATGAAAAGATCATGTTTTGAACTTAATCACCTGAAAATGATCAATTTCAGCAGCTCCTGAAAGTAACTCCAGCAACAAACAAGGCCAATCGGTACATGAATTTGCTAGAGACCTTGAAATGCCACCAGTCCTATTCAATTGAGCAATGGCATTAGCTCTCCACCCTTGTTGCATCTTGATCACCTCCTTGGCCAATCTCAAAGCCACAATTGACTCCCTGAAATATGAAGCCTCTTCAATGGACAAATTCTTGCCGTTCCCTTCAAATCCCAAAATTCCATCGATCTCCTTGACATTTGATCGAGCAGTTAGCGCAAAAACAGTGCGATCCCACAAAGCAGAGCTTGAGGCCTTATCAGAGACAGCAGTCCTGGAACATTTATTACTCTGCAGTATGCAACGAAGCGAAGTCCTAAGTCCGTGCCATTTATTCAGGGTAGTGAAAATTTGGTGGGAGCTTATGGTGCCAAGCTTGACACCCTTCTCCGCCATTGATTCGAGGCAGTTCTCCAGCTGGATTCTGCAGCTGGATAAAGGAGGTGGCTCGCAGGTAGACCAAGATGCCCAAGGAAATGACTGGTCGTACTGTGGGTGGTGATCTTTGATCGACTGAGCGAAATCTACATAGCCGGTGAGATGAGGACCTTTGTTCCATTCACCAAGAAGACCTGGGATATTAGAAGCAAAACAAATTAGGGGAAATTCTTTGAATTGGAAAAGTAGTGTTTTCATTTGAGAAGCAGAAATTGAAATCGGATTGTACGTTCGAGGATGAGGGTTGTCTTCCCGACGCCCCGGGGGCCATGGAGGATAAGCGGTTGAGGGACACGGTGGTGCTGAGCGTGGTTGTTGAGGATAGTTTCGAGCAAACGCCTTGGTAGTATCTTCCATGGTTTGTTCACCATTTCCTTCTCGCTGCATGCGTACTTCCTTGCCCGTAGATTTTTGTCTGCTCTTTGTTACTGTTGGTTTGGTTCTTTGAGCCAACTTTTGGATAAAATTTAGTAGAGGAAAGGAAGTGAAGGAAAGACAGAAGTGAAGGAAAATAAGGGTTGTCATAATATTTTTATTTAATTAAATAATTTAATATAAAATAAAAAAAATAAAATTTTTAAAATTTATTAATTAAATAAATAGTCAGAAATAAAATTTTTATATTTATTTATTTTTAAAAATTAAAAACAAAAATAAATTAAATAATATAATCTATTCGACAAATCAAAAGGACTAAAAATAAAACAAGAAATAAGAGTCCATCTCCATACATCCCTCTCTTCCATTAAAATTATGTGTCCAAATGGGGGAATATACCCTTTCTCCCTCACTTTCCTCTCCTTCCTCTCCAACTTCTTCAATCCAAAGAGTGTAAGAATTGTTGTCTTGACGGCCACTCAAAATCTAACCTATATGGGCTACTAATGCTATTGAGTGTTGATGGAAACGTTAACAAGCTGCGTTTGCCATATCTTTAAATAATTTCAAAATTAAAACCACTAAATTTCAAAAAAAAAAAAAAAAACTTAAATTTAACATACTCACCCAACCAAAATAGGCTAAAGTCTTTAGATATCTACACGTTGCCAATAACAGTTGTTAGTAAAAAGTCAGCCCATTAAAGATGCCTTTCATGTCGTTTTGTTAATTCTTTGTGGTGTTTGCTGGTCAGCATTGAACACAACCACAAGAAACTTCTCCCCCCCACTATTTGCCACTTGGATTTGTAGCTAAGAAGAGGAGGGGATTCTAGATGGTTGAGATGAATTATGACGTAGAATTCAATGGCGGATGTTGCCACTATTATGGTTAATGAGAAGTCCAATTGTTTTCCCTGTTTTGATGCATCCCCAACATATAGAAAAGAGGGTTTCGTGTAGGCAGATCGGTCTCAATTTCTTTCCACCATGAGCGATAAGGCATGCTTTATATTTAGCCATTATAACTTAATCTTCTATAAATCTACAATTAAATGGTAGTGATTTTTGGGTGGTTTTTGATGATCAATTGGGGTTTGGGAATTTCACAATGATGGCTGTCAAGAGTTGGCCTTGCAGTTTCTAGGATTGGATGGAGAGAAACACTCTTTGGGGTGTGGAGGAAGATATGCTAGTCTTATTTCTTACTTGCGCACATTTTTAAATTGCTCAATTACAATTTCTACAACTCTTATTTCTAGATAGACAACAGTTCTCCTCCTACTTAAATTCATTTCTTCTACTGACTTTCTAGCTTATTTGCTATGTAGTCATTATATTTCTTGCTCGTTTGGCATCTCAGATAAGATTTTCATTCTCCAGATTGTTTCTAAAAGTAGGTCAGTTAATTTCATTTTTCAAGGTGTTTTGTATAATTTTGTCACACATTGCGCTCTGTATTCATACTCTTTACAATGGATTTAGACTCATTAAAGATAGAGAAAATGATATATTTACCTTAGACATGTTCTTAATTTAATTCAATCAAATTCTATGAAAAAACTTATTAATTTCCACTAGTGCCATTTTTTCTCTATTCATGTTTTTTTTTTTTTTTTTTTTTTTTTTTTTGCAAAGGGAGGAAAACAAGAAATAACAAAGAAGGATATTTTTCTTTCTTTCATTCACCAAAGATATGGCAAGGTTGATTTCCTAATTGAAATGGTAACATATTCTTAACCACGCAGAATGCCTAAATTTACCCCCAAAGTTAGGCAATAAAGATGGATCAACCCTTGAATAAAAAAACGAAGATAAATCTATCCATAAAATTTTTGACTTAGACAAATTACCCTAAATTTAATGTGTGACGTTATCTGGCGTCAACAATTTGTTAGCAATAAACTTATTAGCGATGCACATATTAATGAATTGTTGACGTCATATGACATCAAACATTAAATTTAGGTGATCTGTCCAAGTCAAACTTTGTGGATGGATTTGTCTTCATTTTTTGTTCAAAGATAGATTTGTCCTTACTCTTTAATTTTAGGGGTGGATTTGGGCATTTTGCCTTCTTAACCATGTACACCTAGATTTTGTTATATATTATATCACATGTAATTGGCATGTTAAAAATTACATAGAGGTAAATGGCGCATGTTTAACCTTTTATGACATGCTATAACAATGTGATAGGCTCTCTCATGACAAGGGTTTTGATAAATTCTAATTCATACATAATACATATAGGCTTAGAACATGTTACTTTTACTTTCATTGAAATTAATAAAACTTTGATTGAGAAAGATGATGATTCAAAATGGTTGTTCATAAGTTTGAGTTAAGAGATTTGAAGGTTTAGAAAGGAGACTAAACAAAAATTGAATAATTATTAACATTTATGGTACATGTAATTAATGATGTTAAGAACATATAATTTTTGTTGCTTCAAAGTCAAGGATTATATTGATAGGTATTGGCAACTTCTCCATTGTTACTCTTACAAGTTAACTATATATGCACATAAGACATAATTGTCAACATAGCAAAAAGAACTCACTAGCGTGCACCATTTTGAGTCATGATAAGCATGTCTACATAAGATACTTAGCATTTTTGTTTTTTGTGTCAAACATGTAAAGAAATCATGTCTCGCTTAATCTCTCTTATCGTTGTACAAATAGAAAAATTATTATTACACCACATTATTAAAAATTAAACACAAACTATACATTTGTAACTTGCAGAAGGGTGAACCCAAGGCATATTATAGCTCGTCCTCAACTGAAACCCAATTTCTTTTATCAAAAAAATAATAATAATAATTAAGAAACAAGGGAACCCCAAACTTGTTTACATAATCATTAACCGTAACACATTACCATGCCTTTTCTACCAAAATGCTAAGACATAGTTCCCAAATAGCCTACTAATTCAAATTGAGGTCATTTTAGGGGTTCCCTCTTCAAACTTCTAATAGCAAATCTAGGAACAATTTAGCTTCAAGCTAATAATAAGACCTATGCTTGACAAGTTTAATTCCCTCATCTAGACTATATTCTTCTATGCTAAAATTTTGTTGATTTCTCTATAACTATACTATCCAAATTACTGCAAACATGTTACCTGCCAAGCTTCATGCCAAGTCTTTTTTTGCCCATGAAATCCTCCATGTTGATTGAAGTGGTTTTGCACTCCCGTATAAGCTATGGTTAAGATGCCCCAGCATAAGTAAACATTTGTATCTACCTTTCACGAGCTCTTACATTTAGTCACCAAACAATCAATGTTTTCTTTCTTTTTTGAGCAAAGTAGGTAGTGAATTTCCTCAATTTCCTTGATCACACCTCTATTTGGCTAAGTTGTTCCTTGTTGATAATTTATCAACAAACATTTTCCACACTCAAGCTAACACCTTTAGAGGCACTAAATAATTTCATGCATGCTTGAAACACCCAGTACCATCCATTATGGATGCACCATTGATTTTGTTGTAGGCTGATTTCACCAATTATTGTCCATTTTGTTTCCCATCTCCTACACTAGCTATCTTCAACTCCTTTTTGCAAAATTGTTGATTGTAGAAGCTTATGCATCCCCTATAAAATTTCTAGTTTCTACAAAAATAGCTCCCCACACCAATTCCACCTTCAATCCTATACCCCTTCTTTCCAATTGCTTAGATCCACCACTTTTTCCTTTTTGTCTAAGGTTAAACGAAACAACCTAGGAAAATTTTCTTTCGACCTAACCTCCTTTACCCATACATCCTCCCATAATAGAGTTTCTTTACCCTTCTTCATCACTTTCCTAAATCCATCCTTTAATTAGCCATCAAAAGCAGCAGTTTCCTTTTCAAATACTTAATAACCCTTTCCACCACGCTAACCCTTTCCTATCTCCCACACATTCCTCCCATCCTATACAACTCCTTGTTGGCAAGTGTGTTAGCCACCAGAGAATACAAGAAATTATTGTTGAAGATTTGGGTTCATTAATTGGTGCAACTTAAGCAAATGAGGCCCTGGTCATTAGAACCTCCTCCTCAAGCTTTCAACAATCCCTGAGGCAAGTGGATGAATGAGGATGTCTTGCTAAAACTTGACAAAGGTAGAGCCTTGTCAAAACTTCAACGTCCAAAAATTAGCAAATTACGGGACTTTAATAAAATAATAGTAAGCACTTTTTGGACAAAATATACAATAGTTGTCAAAAGGATGTAAATATATAAAAGAAAAATGCATGTTTATGTCATTTTACACATTACAGTACACTTATATCTCATCGCTTTTCTCAAATCTCACATATACAATAGCAAAAGAGAAAAAACTACAAAGAGATGGGTGGGAAAAGGAATGAAAGATCTAAAAAGCTTGGCTTTTTAGGGTGCAAAAGCTATCTTTGTTAAAAGATTAATAACCATGGGAGCTCATTCCATGAAGATGAAGATGAAGAAGACTCCTCCTTGGGTAACAGTAGTTAAACTTGTGCCAAGAACTCTTAGAAGAAAAGGAGAATCATAGGTTGGAAACCATCATCTAATAGCCCTTGATGAGATCTACAACTTTGAAAAAATATTTTGTGGATTTGGTGAGTATTTATGGATCAAAATGTAGAAAAAATGAATGGGTTTTTGAGAGAGAAAGTGCTTCAAGTAAAGAGAGAATTTCAAGATTGTAAGAATGTTGGAAAATCATATAAAATCCCTTTTAAAAATGGAAAAATGTGGTATTTATAATACCTAAGACAATTTTATCATTTTATGAAATGGAATGATCTGAGGTCATTGGATGAGCATCTCAAATTGGATAAGGACACATGTCCACTTTTTGAAAACCCTAGTACACATCTAGTTTTACCTATTGGGCAATGTGTTGTCTTGGCTAAAATCTAAAGATGTTTGATTGGTAGGATATTTTTGCCTCATTTGGTTATAAGACAAAAACACTTTTGGCAAAATTTACAATGAAGACTATGTATACACTATTTTACATGGTGGGTTAGACAAGTCAAACCACCTTGGAAAATGGGATGTCCCCTTGTTTTCTCCTAGGTTTGGATTTGACAAAGAGATAAAGAAAGAATGAGCTTTTACCCCTTTGATAAGCATTTTGCACCTTTTGGCAAACCTTTCCCCTCTGTTCATCAAAAAAGGGATTGACAAGGGTCACACCAACCTTTAACACTAACATCCCACTTTGACGATGAGGCAAGATCAATCACTCCATGCCTTTCATGCCACTACTCATGTAGTCTTTCCCATTATCCTTGTGGGCTTGGTTTAATGAGTTTGATAACTTGCACAATGGTATATTTTTTTATCAAATACAAATATATTATAAGAATAATATCTTAGACAAAGTGTGAATGACAAACAAATTCTATCGAAGGTTCATTGTCAAGTGCTACCATTATAGTCAACAACTCTTGTTTCTAATTGACAAACTTTCCCTCCCACATGGTCAGGCAGTGTCATTCTACCATCTAATTTGTTAAGTTTTTGGCTTGGTAAAGGTGTCAATGCCTTTTTGGATTAAGTTCATTGTTCGCATCAATAATGGGAAGCTGTAATGGCATAGACCCTTTGTCTAAGGTTATGACGAGTCTTGCCAAAATTGAAACATAAGCTCATTGTTCGTATCAATGGCGGGGAGCTGTTATGGTGAAAATCTTTTGTTTGTGTTTGATAGAAGTTTTGCCCAAGAATAAAATACAAGCTATTGTCTATATCAATGATAGGGAGTTGTTATGGTGAGGAACCTTAGTTTGTGGTTAATTGGAGTTTTGCTCAAGAATGAAATATAACCCCATTGTTAACATTAATAATGGGCAGTTGTTGTGCCAAGGACCTTTTGTACATGATTAATGGGAGTCTTACTAGTGGTATAGCCCATTGGTTGCAAATGGTAGAAGCTTGATGTTGATATCACTTTATCAAAGGGCGGTCTTGGCTGTTTTGCCTGCCAAGTACTGCACCACCATACATGAGGCAATCGCCAAAGAATAGCCCATCTTTTGATGAATTTAAGATTACGTGAAGGAGATATTGCCTTCAATAGATTGGCCTTTTGCTTGCAATAGTAGAAGCTTTAATCTATTGTCCATGGTAGGGGAGATCTTAACCCTTTGCCCAAATAGTGGAAACCTTGTTTGTTTCTTTGATGGTAAGTTTTGCCCTTTTAGGCTCGTTGTTCTTGTTAGAGCAATAACAAAACATGGTTAACCATCTTTGTGTTTGACTTTGAATCTAGGTTAACAATCTAATGTGGACAATAATGTGGATTTACCCCTTTATTCGACAAGATTGACCATCAACCTTGGCCCCCTTAAGCAAGGAAGGTTGTCACAACAAGCTTTATTACCTGGTGTTAAAGTCATCAATGATTTCATTTTATCAACATCTTTTCTTACTAGAATGTTTGACAACTTTGTCACTAGTGAGGCCCTGATGAAGCACTTCTTTCAATGCATTTTAGGCTTGCTCTTCTTATCAGCTTGTGAAGTGTCAAAGGTTCTCCTTGTTAAGTCTTGTCACTAGCAATAAGGTTTTGACACCTTTACTTTGATGAACAAGGAGGCACTCAATAACCATGGATACACACCTACCAACAAAATGTTCTAATATTAGGTGTGATTGACCACTAATTATCATAATTCAGGACAACTTTGCTGATGAGAACCCCAAAGAGAACAATGAGACCCACAGCACGACAAGGGATTTCTAAACTCCAGGAAAGCTAAATCAGGTTTATAATAGGACCTTGACCCGTTGTTTATGTCGCAACAAGAACCAAAGGTAAAAACCTTGACCCGTTGTCTATGACGCAACAAGAACCAGAGGTATAAATTTGGTTGATGCCACACTCTCGAATGATTAAGAACGAGAATGATAAGTCAGGTTAGAACGCCACAAGAATAATCTTGATAAGTTCTGTAAAGTTCTGAAACGAACCAAAGAGAAAAGTCTCTTAAAACTCAGATTCAATCATTCCCTCCCCATTAGGGTTACAAGCCCTTTAAATAGAGAAAACAAATCCTAATCAGAATAGGAAATTAACACCCTAAGGCCTAAACCTAATAACCACGAATTGGGCTTCAAATAAGCAAATGTTCAGCCCAAAAATAATCCAAAAAACGTGACAATCACTAAAAATAACCTAAAATAACACGAAATATCAGTTTGCTACAAGTTGCGGCAGAATTGTGCGATTTTGACGCAAACTGTGTAATTCCATGCAAATGACCTCAACTAAGTTTCTCTTGAACCTGAATGATGTTTACCATGCCTTGATAATCATCCAAGCTTTGATTTGATTGTTGTATGTTGTTTTCAACCCAGATCTGCTCAATAAGGCCATTTAAAGCTTCACGCATCTTCTTAGCCCTAGCTCGCGTGACTGGACCTCCTTGGCTGTGTAACGGATCACATGACGTAGTAGATATGTTGTTGTCTTGATTCCCATCTGTAATATCCCAAAATTTTGGGGATATTTTAGCATTAAATAAGGGACTTATTTGAGGGAAAATATCATTGAGGGGCTTAATAGTCAAATTTTTAAAAGTTGAGGGGTTAAAAAGAAAGGAAATTAGGATAAGGATCAGCTGATATTTTCATTCCTTTTCTTCCCAGCCATACACGTTTCTGCTCTGCTCTTCTTCTTTGTGCAGCCCGACAAACCCCCCAAAGCCACCGACTTCCTCTTCCTTTGAAAACTGAAAAAGGGGCTTGAAATTCTCCTTCTTTCTTGTTCAATCACAAGATTTGGGGCTTAGAATCTTCTCCCTCAACCCAGAAAATCCCGGTCTTGCTCTGCTCTTCTCCCTTGTTCGCCGGCTGCTATGTGGGTGTGAAAGTTTGGGCCTTTTTCTGGTAAGATCTAGCCATGAATCCCTCTCTTTCACCTTGATTTAGGTTGGGTTTACTTTAATTGCTCTTGTTCCTCCAATTTTTGGGTAGTTCCGTGAGCTTCCCCTGCAGGTCCTGCCGGCCTTCCTCAATCTGCTAGCTTCGGTTTCTTGCTTGTAAATTCTGGTATGTGGCAGCCTTAAACCATTGTTTTTAAGCTTGATTAAGGTAGAATTAGCTTGATTAATTGGCTGCCCCTGTGATGTCCGAATTTGGCTGAAATTGGGGAGGAATTCTGGTAGCTTTAGGATGAAATTAAGTATTGATTTAAGTTGAATTTAGGTAATTGAGTGTTAATTGACTGTTGTGTGATTTTTGGAAAGAAAACCCCGTGATTAGCTAGTGTTTTGGCTAATGTTTGGAAGTGGCAGTACTGTTCACGTCGTGGTACTGTTCACCGAACACTGTTCACGGCACTGTTCACATAACACTGTTCACACACCGAGGGTCAACGATTAACGGGGATTTAAATGATTAGTTTGTGATATAAGAATAAATGTGGAGATTGATAGAAATAGCACTGTGACTAGGGGTAGTGCTAAAGATGATTTCACTGTAAAATTGTGGTGGTATGTTTATTAATTGTGGAATATTGTGATTAGGTTTGATCGTTCTGTCACCGTAGCACTTGGGTTAGCCTTCTGTTCTGTGCGAGTGAGGTAAGTAAATCATGGTAAAGCCCTTCGATTTTAAAGCATGTTTTAAACTGTTTTTGAGATGGTGGCAAGGTTTAAAGTGATTTTAAATTGATTTTATCAGCATCTGAATGTGATTAAACTGAAATGGAAATTGTGATGGTTTTTATGAGAATTTCACTGTTTTTTTGGAATTGAGCATGATTGGGGTGAAAATGGGAATTTCATTGTTTTTTGGAATTGAGCATGATTGAAATGAAAAGTGAGAATTTCATTGTTTTTCTGGAGTTATTGCACCGAGCATGATTGGTTTGAAATGAAACTGTTTTCATTAGTATTGAGTAGAGCATGCCTATTTGGAATTGACTGAACTGTTTTGATGAACTGAGAGTTTATAAATTCTGAGTTTTCTGATAAATCCATGCCCACATGGATTTTTCTGGTTATTTCTGAAATTGGGATTGATTGTGAAATTTGGGTTCTCTGTAAACTCTGCATGGTTTTGTCTCAGATATAGTCATGATTACTGATTACTGTGCCCGCTAGTGGGAGGTTTATAAACGCTAGCACATGTCTACATGTTTACTAATATGACCGGTCCATTCTGTAACCCTACCAATGGGGTTAAACATTGGTAATTACTGTCGCCTGCCAGTGGGAGTTGTAAACACTGGCACCATTACTGACGCCTGCCAGTGGGAGTTGTTAAACACTGGCACTTCTGTGACCTTGCCTATGGGGTTAAACATTGGCAACTACTGTGCCCGCCAGTGGGAGGTTTATAAACGCTGGCCATGACTTATAGATGAGACTACTGAATTGAGTTTTCTTCTGCATTGATGAGTTGTCATTGAATGCTTTGCAATTAAACTGAATCTGTTTTTGTCACCGAGCGTTTTGGTTATATTAAACTGTTTATCTGGCATGCTAAAAGTTTTACCCAAGGGTTATCCATAATTACTTACTGAGTTATCTCATAGTTTTCCTTGTCCGCCATTTCGGGAAGTGAAACCGAGGATGGGGAAACCAAGGGGGAGTGACGAGTTAGAAGGCTAGCCATTTCGAGATTGAGCATAGATTTAGAAATAAATCATGATCTTGTATTTGGAGATTTTATTGGAGATTTATGATATCAAAGATATTTTATAATTTGATCTTCAGATTTTGATGGTATTAGTTTGTGATTTGAATAAGTTCCGAGCCTTGTGTACTTGTGGGACCCGTCTCACGAGTGCACGGCGTCTGCCACGTCCCTGGATTTGGGTTCTGGGGCGTGACACCATCATTTGCATTTATGTCAAGTGGTCTCTTCATACCAGTAAAGATGAGCTATTGTGATGATCATTGCAAAAAGCTAGAAAATTTAGTAGTCTATCAGCCAAGTAAATAAGTCCATGGTTCTTGAATAATGTTGTAATCATAAGTGGTTATTCTCATACTTTGTTGAATTAATTGAAAAAGTCTAATGCAAGGGCACCTTCGTGACTCATTGAAGTTTTGAGGCTTGACTTGAATCTTGAGGATTGTTCTGCTATTTCGGTGGAATGGAAAGGACCAAGCTTGTAATTTCCCCTTTAAACTATTTATCTTCTTCATCAACTCCATAACTTCCAAAAAGAACATTCCTCTATAGAAATCGCTAGCCTATTTCTTTCCTTCCCCTCTTCAAAATTTCGTCAAATCCTTACTTGAATCTTTGATTTTTTGCTAAAAATCATTGAATTACCACAAAATCTTGAAAATCCATTTTCTATTTGGTGGATTAGTGGGCTTAAAAGTGATTCTTAAGAACATTTTCAAGGCAAAGTTTCTCATTTTCTCTCTCTTCAAACCCATTTCTCCATGATGAACCTTGAATATTTTGTGGTTGTTTTTGGTTAAGGGAGGCCAGATTGGTCTTCTAATAGAGGGTTTTTTTTTTTAAATTTTAATATTCTTTATGCATTTGCCATAGATTTGGGGAAGAAAGTTTGAAGATTTTTGAGATGAAATTTTCAACTTTCTTCCATTCTCCATGCCATAACTTTCCTTTTCTTCTTCATGCTTTGTTTTTGCCATTTTGTGCCTGAATCTCCTTTGTGTAGCCTTTAAACGTGATGATTTGTTTATGGGTTATCATTGGATCTTTTTTCACAATGAAAGGAATCGTTTTGACAAGGCCCTATTTTTTATCTTGGCCGCTTATATTGTTCATCTTTTTTTTTTTTTTTTTTTTTGCAATTAGACATCTCCAAATCTTTTCAACATAAAAAGAAAATTTAATTTATGAGCATGAAGAATTTTTTGTTTGACAAAGTGCATGTAGCTTTGATAGTGTGAATTTGTCACTACTTTCGAAAGATTTTTTTTTTTTTTTTATCGTCTATCTTTTGGTGAAGTCACCTTTGATAGGATGCTCATATTTGTCATTGCTTGTACTATAACTAGATATTTTGCCATGTGTTTTTTGTTTATTCTCTTATCACCCTTTTCTTTTCGCAGTTCCAGGTTGGTTGATCCACATGCTATTAGTGACGTTTTGCCACTATATGATCCTTGTATGAAGGGTAAGGACAAGCTTTTTACCTTTGATTTTGTCACTATCAAGGACTTTCCTCTTGACAAGGCATAGTATCCATTGGCAAAGGAACTCATGTGTTGTTATATTCAAAGAAAAGATATATTTCCTGTCCCTATCTAAGTCACTGCTCAACAAGATTTGTCCAACACTAGGGTACTTTAAGTCAACCAAATGTTGAGTGACTTAGTATTTAGAGAAATCCTAGACAAGGTAGGCATGTTTAAGTCAATTTGTCTATGCCAGTTCCTCTTGATCAATGTCGAAACTCAAGCCCTCCATTAGCTTGTTTGAAGGCATCATGTTGACACTTATACATTATACACCAGTTTTGGCAAAATCAAAATATCTTTAGATGTTGTTGCCAACATCTTATTCTTACCTAAAATGGGTGACAAAAATCCCAACATAAAAAAGGTTGTTTGACTAGGAGGAGGAAGAAGTTGATATTGCACTAACGTGGTCATGGAAAAAACACAAGTCTTATTCTTAATGGGTTATCTCTTTTATGACCAAGGGTGGTGTTGTCCTACCTTATTAGTGAAAAGCCTTCCTAACCTGTTGGTTGAGCAGATTTGTCTTAGGTAGCCCTTCACTTGTGAAGACCAGCATAATCTATACTCTTTGGTTGGTTTAAAAGCATTGTTCCCTTCTTATTCTTTTAACATTTACCACATTGTATTTAGCACTTGACCAGTTTTGTTTCAACAAAGTGGAGGGGTTGGCTATTATTTGATTGAGTTAGAGGTGCATTTGGCAATCATTCAAATATTTCCTTAAGGAGGTACTACCCATTCCATGATAAGTGCATTATGACAAGGGTTGCTATAACAAAATTGAAGTATGACCTTTGTGGGTATGACAAAGGAAAGACACATTTGGCTGCTTTTGGTGCAATTTGTAAGACATGCGCAATATGTCCGTAGAACCTTTGAAAAAGTGATTGACAACATCAATGAGTTTTCTGCCATCCTTTTAATGTGCTTTTTTGAGGAAGCCCAATGAATGTGCTTCAATAGAAATCCATTTTACTACTCCCGACAATGAAAATGTGTTTGTCAAACGCTTTATCTATGAAGAAGGCACACTAACAAGGTATGCTCTAACTCATTCTGCTATAGTAGGCTTTAGCTGCCAACAAGTGATAGTCATGGTGTTTTACAACTCGAACTGATTATTTCATCAGTTTAGGTATGATTAAAACATGATTATGACACCTATTATTAAGAATAAATGGAGCACATTATTAGAGTGCTATCTAAGTGTGAAAGCAAAAGTGTAGTAGTGAGACTCTAAGGACTATGATGACAAAAGGGTCTTATTAAACCCAATCTTCAAAATGCGATGATGATTAATGACATACTAACCTATTAGCAGAATCTTCTTGAAGACTTCTAAGAGTTCATCAATTCCTCACTTAAGATTTTAACAAGGAAGAAAGGGGTGAAAAATACAAACAACCACCTCAAAATCCTCAGGCCATGTATTATAGGTTTGCCATTAAACCCAAGCTCTTTTGCCATGTGTGGAACAAAGAAGATGATAAATAGGTCAAATTTTTGTATCCACTATAATTTTGGGAGTAAGAAAATGAAATAATTTGAGACATCTATCAAAGTTTGCGACAAGTTTGGTATTTTTTTATTTGCCATTCATGGTTCTTTTGTCAATTCCATGCTATTATATACTACCAACTAACCCCTCTCTCTTCTTTTTAATAAGAGACAAGCAAGGTGATGATGTCCCTTTGCCCAAGTCGAGTAAACAAGTAAAAGGTGACTCTTTAAGCCAGGTGTCCAAAAAGGTGATGGCAAAACAAACTTCAAAGGCCAGGGTAGTTTGTCTGCATCTTAGGTAAAAAGGACCATGATTTGTGCACACCCGGATCCAACACCCGGGGGTGCACCCTCCACGTAAAAAAAAAAAAAAGGGCCGGGTGTTCTCCATTTTTTTTTTATGCAGAGTGTGCACACCCGGGTGTTGAATCCGGGTGTGCACACATCATTTTCCTAGGAAAAAAATAAACTAATAGCAACTCTTTTGAGGCAATCGATGAAAGGTGGTCTAAAGATAAAGCCTCTAAAGCTAAATGAACTTAGCAACAACAGTGAGATGGCCATGAAGATCAGTGAAGGGAATGACTAGATAGCGATTGTGGAGCTCCCAATAGTGGCAACAATGACATCATCACCAGCAAGGCGTAAGTACATAGACTTTTCATCTCTCTATTTTGATAACATAATTTTTGCATAACTTGCCTTCATCATTATAACTATCTTTATGTAAAACGGAGCAAACAATGATTCTAACCCCTTAGCGTCTAACAAACGTTCATCATTTTGCCCCATTCTGGCACTCATTTACAAGTTCTACCAGGTGAGTCCTTATAAAGCAAGATCTAGACAGGCCCGCCTAAGGAAAGATCAAGCTCAAGCTTGGGTAGACAAAACATGAAGTTCAGAATGAAGATAACAAGCATGAGTCCAGCTATTAGTGTAAGACAACCCTATTTAATTTCTTTTTCTTATTCTTCTTTTTTAAAGACAATTTGTATATGTCTTGCTTGAATTTTCTTTTCTAGCAATTGGGCAACAAATATGGGGTGGCTTGTGAGGTTGTGCAAGTTCCAACCTTTAGGTCTAGATCACCATAGAACCACCATAGAGGTAAGATAACTCATGTTTGTCTTTCATGCTGCACTTTGGCATTTGACATAGTATATTACTCATTGTTGTTCCTTCTTTTTTTAGCAAATAGGCATCATTAGAGAAGAAATCACTTGCCAAGAAGCATAATCCATCATCCAACTAAACTCTTACCCAAGCTAGGAGCTTTGATGTTGTTATTGCTATATTCAGCAATATTACCAATAAAGGTAAAAGACAACTCCCATCCTTGGAAGTGAAGACATTAAACTTGCCATACTCATGTTTGTCCTATCATTCCTTTTGAAAGGTATTATTGACATCAACAAGCTTACTACTCAAGTTGAGGAAGAAAAAGGTATTGCTTCCAAAACCAACAATGATAATCATGAGGTTGCCAAAAGTTTAGTGACAATAATATGATTGACAAGGGCCCAGAGACAAGCACTATAGTTGTTGAAGAAAAGGCTACAGATAAGGATAAGCTATATTCCACTTTAAAGATAAGTATTCTTCTTTAAAAAAATAACTTCTTTGATATTTTAAAAAACAAATGACTTGGAGAAGTATGTAATCTTGCTTTCTCATCTATTAATTCTTTAAATTATTCATTGATGTTTCTTTTTATTTTGGTTTGAGCTAGATTAGTCCTTTAGATTTTGGCTTTTATAATTATGTTTTTAGAACTTGAACTTTAACACATGAAGCCTTCTTAGAAGCTTTCTTTTTCTTCATGAAGTCCATCAATTTTCAATACTTAACATTTTTAAATCCTTGCAAAATTTCAATGTGAGAATGAGTGCCTATAATTGAAAATTTTAAGGTATTGAGTTAACTATATCTTCAAAAATATTTTAATTAAATTTGCTCTTTTCAAAATCGAGTTATGAAAGCTAAAAAATGGGGGAAGCCTAGGGACAAATGAAGTTAATTGCCATGGAAATAGGGAGGATGAGAAAAGGGATGAATAGGGAGATTATTGCAAGATAAAGGTGTTATTGTTCAGTCGAGGAAAGAAGAAGAAAACATAAAGTATTATAACCTTAGCCAAAATGATACTATTTAAGGCTTACAACATGTAACTTTCTCTAATTCAACACTTTAACCCTATTTCTTTTGTTCGATTCTCATTAAGTCTTTGATACGTTGGTGATCCTTATCCAACTAAACTTAAAGTTTTTATCCATTCTTTAATACAAAACTTCATGCACCATGCATGTCCTCTTGTTTTTCTTTAATAGTATCAGATGAATTTACATAAAAATATAAATATAAATGATAAGTATGGATGATACAAGTTTAAATTATTGGATAAAATATAGAAAGGTAAAAATCATAAATTAGTTACATGCAGAAGTAAAAATTAAGAAAATTAAGTTTTAAGAGAATTTCTAACCTAGTGCACTCTCATGTCCAAGAATTAATGGTTGCTCTTCATTGTTATTTCTTGTAGAAAGTAAACGTTGACGCATTTTCAAGTGAAGAGTTGTTACCATTACCATCATTTCTAACAAGTGCGCTAGATATAATTTCAAACTTACATGAAAGAGAATATATATCTATAAAAGGTTAGTGTAGGATAGATTGTCCTTCTAAATATTTTTTGGACAACTTGTCTAAGAACTCATTTTTTAATTAATCTTTTCTAAAAACTAATCATTAGATTGAAACTTTTATTTATTAAAATCTTGCATGTCAATTTTCATATTAATTCAACATTTATAACCTTTTGAACAAAGAAATTCTATTTAGAACCTTTTGAAAATTGACATGTATAATATAAAAAAATAGAATTTTTAATAAAACAGTTAGTTTTTTAAAAAATAAAAAAGTATTTTACAATTTGAACTGTTTTGGACTATAAAACACAAATCCTTTAAAAAATTAATTTAAAGGTGGGTTTTTAGATAGGTCATCTAAAAGAAAAGAAAAAATTGAAGAGACAACTTGTAAAACACTTTTCTTTATCAATAATGGAAATTTTACATTTCTTATAAGACTCAATAATTCTCCTCACATCTACATCATTCTTAACCTTGTTAAGGATAGGGTAAGCATGGGAATTGATGGGTGGAGATTGAGGTTGGTGATGATGGCAAAGGTAGTAGTAGAATGGAAGATGCAAGAAGTGTTTTGGTTTGTGTTAAAGGAGGAAAGTGGTGTATTTGTTGTGCATACCCCTCTTTTTTAGTGGGGTTTCCAAAATAGTCCTTTTTTTAATTTTTAATTTTTTGTTTTTTCAATTTAAGCCGTTGCAAGGATTCATAGTAGTCATAGGTAGGGTTGAGAAACTATGAGCTGAGGATTTAGATGAATAATTCTCTCAACTCTAGTTTCATTGGTTTGGGATTTGTTTATTTTCAATTTTGTTCTATATTTGTTAGCTTTAGTAGGTTATGTAAAGGCGATCAAAGTTCTGGTAATGTACTCCTTTATAGGAATCTACTCATGTAACTGAAATGGCACTCTTATTGGGGTGGGAATACAACTCTCCCTATAGGGTGTACCTTGTAGGCTCTCTTTGGTCATTAATGTTTTGGTAAGGTTAGTAACTTGTAGGCTCTATAAACCACCTCATAATTGGATAATGTATTTTCACCATGGTTAGATGAGAAAATAGATATAAATCATTTTCTTGTAAACAAATAATTATTTTTCATCATCAACTTGCTTTTTTTAATGTTTAATAT